ATAGGGAGACCCTGTCTCAAAAAGACCAAAAAAAAATTTTTTTATTTTTATTTTATGTGTATAAATGTATTGCCTACATGTATGTAAATCCACCCATGTCATGCAATGCCTGAGGAGGTCAGAAGAGGGCCTAGAATCCCCTGGAACTGGAGTTACAGATGGTTGTTAGCCACCATGTAGGTGCTGGGAACCAAACCTGGGTCCTCTTCAAGAGCAGCCAATGCTCTTAACCACCGAGCCATCTCTCTAGGCCCCTCTTAAAACTAATACTTTTACCTCTTTACTAATACATTTGCCTCTTAAAACTAATACTTAGGGCCTGTGAGATGGCTCAGTGAGTAAAAGTGCTTGCCAAGCAAGCTTGATGACCCAGAACAAACATCAAGAGGAGACCTGACCCCTGGAAGTTGTCCTCTGATCTCCACTCAGAAACCATGGCATGTACTCATACACACACATCATACATTTATACAGTAATAACATATAAAATATAAATTAAAAGCAAAACTGATATTCAATGTACTTCTGCCTCTTTCTCTTAGCTCTACTCTTTGAAGTCATATATAATCAAATGCATTCCTTATCCTATTTTATAGTCTCCAAGAGTTTCTTCAGCTTTTAAGCAGATCACTAGAATTACTAGAGGTGTTTTTTGGTTTTTGAGTTTTTTAAAATAATGCTGAAAGATATCTGGAAAGGCATCTTTGCTTTGATCATGTGCAGTATGAGGCCTTTCCTTAGATGAATCAACAGAACGTGACGTGACATACTTCAGTTGTATCTGTGCAATCTTTTGCAGTGGTCTAAGAGTTCTTTTCCTACCAAATGGCACAGAACAGGATACGAATGTTAAATAGCATCTCAGCTCTATCAAAGCCACAACTGAAGATTTCTAATTGCCTACAACTATACTTTACTCAAAACTCCTTCCAGGCCAGCTCCATGATAAAGAAAGAAACTCCTTGGTGACACTGAGCACAAACTGTCTATACAAAAGGTTATTTTCTGAGTATCAACAGAGTTACAACTCGCATAAAAATCTAACAAAGTTGCCGGGCATGGTAGCGCATGCCTTTAATCCCAGCACCTGGGAGACAGAGGCAGGTGGATCTCTGTGAGTTCAAGGCCAGCCTGGTCTACATAGTGAGTTCCAGGACAACTGGGGCTACAAGGAGATCCTGTCTCAAAAAGACCAAAAAAAAAAAAAAAAAAAAAAAAATCTAACAAAGTTAATACTAGCAAATATTTGCAGGATGCCTTCTGAGAGTTCTCACTCAAGTGAAAGGATGACAGGGTTCGGAAATCAATTCCTTACCTCCAGGACGCTCGTGTGCCCCATCTGTGTGCAGCAGCATCGCAATGGGCATTCCAACATTTTTTGATCTTCCAGCTACAACCACGTTCTTCCCTAAGGTTGGAATGCCTACCCCCCAAAACAAAAAAACACACATATATACCAAAGGACACAGGACAGATGCCAGTTTTGAATAAGAACAGCTTCTTTGCTCTAATTATCAAAGCCAGAACTGAAATCTTCTAATTGGCTATAGCCGTGCTTTACCCAGAGCTTGACTCTGTTTGACATTAGTTCCACTATAAATCATTTAAATGTAGATAGCTGCATTAAAAGTAGTTTTGGTCTTAGAATGTCATCTGAGAAAGGTCATGAATCCACTGACTAAGCTCATTAGTCAACCATGGTTTGCCACACAGAGAAGGCTCAGTAGACACAGGGGAAAGCACTCTATAAAGTACAAGACGTTGTGTAGATGTCACTGTCATCGCTGTTAAATCATACATTGCCTTCCCCAAGGCTTGTAGATTAGAGCAAAAGCCATGCAAGCAATGGCTAAGAGGTGCACTCTGCAGAGTGAGTATGGGATGTGGGGCAGGGTCCCACTTGGCTGCTGTAGGAGCTTTTGCCATTCATGAGCACAGGTCGACCATCTCTTACTGAAACACAAAGGGCCAGAAATAGTTCAAATTTTGGAGTTGTTCTGATTTGGAAAAATTTGCACATCTTATACTGGATTAAAATTCCTACTCCAAACACTGACAGTGCTTAAAAAGTCTTAGACTTCACAGCATTTGAGATTTCAGATTTTTTGGACTGGGGATGCCCAACCTAGATTACTTTTATAATACTAACACAGATATGCAATTTAGGCAGATACCTACCAGTTCGTTTAATTATTTCCCACACACCCCATGGGGTAGCTGGCAGCATGGAATACTGGTCCAAGCACATTCGCCCCACATTAATGACATGAAAGCCATCAACATCCTTGTCTGGAGAAACAGCATTGCAGATCTTCCTCTCATCAATGTGCTCTGAAAAAGAAATCAGGGCAGTGGCCTTAAGTCCCCACTATAGAGGAGGGCAGGTGGCCACAGTGTATCTGGCTTGTGATACAAATCCACAAGGCACAGCAGCACACATTAAAGCAAAGCACATGTCAAATGCCAAATACCATAGACTATATCCCACCCCCACTGCTTCCCTCCACTGTCCTTTTATTAAGATTTTGGAAAGCTGAGGCAGAAGGATTGCTCAAAGTTCAAGGCCAGCATGGGCTATATAGTGAAATAATGGATATTATTTTTGAGTATCTCAAAAACATTAACAAAGAGACTACTTCTGAGCTGGGGATATGGCTCATTGGTAGAGCATTTGCCTAACATATATGAGGCCCTAGGTTCAATCCCAGTCCCAGAAAACAAACAAAAACCCATTTCAGTACCAAACTAAAGGGCAATTGTTATTCTGAGTAGGTCTGTGTCATTTCTCATAAAATAGACAAGTTTCTGAGTGTGCCTGGTGTTTAAGTCAAAGCCATACGAACGGCCAGAAATACAGCAGCCAAGCCCCTCTACCACTCAGAAATCATCATCTATTTCAGAGACCAAAACTCACCAGGGAGCGGCAACTGAACAAGGAGGCCATCTACATTTTCATCGTTGTTTAGTTTATTGATTAAACTCAACAGCTCTTCCTCTAAAATTGAAGCTGGTTTCACAATTGTCTCACTGTTGATTCCTATTATAAGGAAAGGTCAAGGTTAAAATGAACATTGAGGCACCTAACAAGCACTTCATGCTTTGTGACCACCCAGGGAGCAGACAAACTAAACTGGCTCAAAAATTAGCTTCACAGGGGCTAGAGAGACAGCTCTGAGCTTAAAAGCATTTGCTGTTCTTTCTTACAGAGGACCTGGATTCACTTCCCAGTACCCACATTGGGTGGTTCACAAATACCTGTAACACCAGCCTCAGGGGATCTGACAGACATCCTGTTCTGGCCTCCATGGGCACCCATATACACATATAAAACACACACACACACACACACTCACATAAATAAAAATAAACTTTAAAAAATGACTTCACAAATAGGTGAAGACTATACACTACAGACCACCTGTTCTGTGCCCACCGTTCTCTGCCATGCCTAATAACCTCATTTTGAGACAAGGAGCCTGAGGCACAGGTAAATGCCAGTAGGGAGATGGCTCAGTGGGTAAAGTGCTTGCTGAAAACCTGAATTCTATCCCCAGCACCCATGTAAAGTGGGGCACAGCAGCACACATGTGCAATCCCAGTGATTGAGTGTGGGGACAGGAGGATCATCAGAGCTGAATCAGTAAGCTCCAGGTTCAGAGACCTGATTCAAAACATAAGGTGATAGAGGAGAGAGAACCTGACATCAATTTCTGGCCTCTACTCTCATGTATGTACACCAGTTGTCACACAGCCCATCTTTCTTGTCCCCATTCCCATGTTCTTCCCATGATACTCACACTAGCTCCCATTATCCTAAACTGCTATGGCTTGCTGCTTTCTGGGGTCTTCTAAACGTTTTCAACTAAAAAGGCAGAAGGCTTCAGACCTCAGTGATGAAGGAATATCAAGGATTCACAGCTGATCACTTGGTTCAGTCACATCAGAACGGAAAGGTACTGGGTGCTCAAGCCACTGACCCTCGGATGATCAGGTGACTTGAGCCAACTGCCTCTAATTTGCTGTCATGTGGTCACCTGTGGCACCTCAAGACCAAAGACACAAACCTTCCACTGTCACCCAGAGCTGAGCCACTTTCAGTTGCACAATTATAGGGCCAATCAGTGAAGAACTTGAAAGCCACTCTCAGAAGTCAGTCATTTCCTATGTGCCTGTGACTATTCAACCACAGCAAGAGGTCTCTTCATATCCTATTGCCCAATCTCTCCCATAATTCCCTGTAGCCTTCAACACCCAAGACAGTGACTCTATAGCTGAAGAAAAGCAAATGTAAAATGTGCTCAAGGTTACCCGTGAAATACTAAGGCTAAGAACAAAATTTACATTATAGTTCAGAAGATACGGAACGTGCCCACCAGGGACCTAACCTACTCTGAAAGTCCTCCAATAGGTAGAGCCTATTCGCTCAAGGTTTTTGAGTCAGCTTGATTATGCTAGCCTCCTCTGCTTGAGTTTCCTTTTTTGTTGTTGTTTTATGTTTTTGTTTCTTTTGTTTTTGAGACAGGGTCTCCCTGTAGCTCCAGCTAGCCTGGAACTTGCTATGTGAACCAGGCTTACCTCACTCACAGAGATCCGCCTGCCTCTGCTGAGATTAAAGGAGTGTACCATCACACCCTGGTTTTTGTTATTTTTTTTAGATTTTGAGTCTCAGTTTAATGTAGGCTGACCCTGAACTTGCTATGTAGCCAAGGCTGGCCTTGAACTCCTGGTCTTCCTGCCTCAGCCTCCAAGAGTGTTAGGATTATGGGTATGCCCCACCACTCTGGGCTTTGCTTGGGCTTTCTAATCAGAAAGAGGAACTATACATTTTACAGTGGCATTTCCCTAAAGATAATCTTCCAGGAAACAGCAATGGGGCTCTGACAGTGACACTTACCCACATCTGCAGCTGCCCTGGTTTTGTTGAGGACATAGGAGTGACTGGCAGGATTCTCACCAACCAGAATGACGCTGAGGTGTGGCCGCTTGTTGCCCAAAGCCACCCACTCTTCTACCTCCTGCCTCACTTCTTGCTTGATCTGCTGGGCCAACTTCCTTCCAGAAATGACGACAGCTTCATTTCTGCAAATGGCAACACAGTCACAGAAACGTAGGTTGGATTTTTGAGGAAAAAACAAAAAAGGAAAATCTCAAACTATAAAGTTGTTATTAGGGCTTGGAGAGATGGCTCAGTGGTTAAGAGCCCTGGCTGTTCTTGCAGAGGACCTGGCTTTGGTTTCCAGCACCCACATGGCAACTAACAACCATCTATTACTCCAGGTCCAGGGGATCTGATGCCTTCTCTTGGCCTCCATGGGTACTGTATGACATAGGTGCACTTACATACATGCAGGCAAAACACTCATACACACATAATTTTTTAAAAACTTGCTATTACACACCAAATATTTAAAGTTCAGATTTAAATGCTAAATCTGAAGGACCAATTGGAATCTGAAGGGCAAATTTAAAGGGGTATACTTATGTCCTGCTATAAGTTCAGGGTGAGCAAGTTGATTAAATGGTTCAGCTGAAGCTCTGGAAGTTTAAGTTTCTGACAGCTAGTACTTGCTCAGGTGGAATCTCAAATCAGGGTCTGAACTCTCAGTGCTGCCTCTTGACCACTACCTAAAGTTTTCATTGCTTCAAAGGGCAAACCTCACCTCTATTGGGCTAACCACTTTCCTTAAATATTTATATTCCATTTGAAGTTTGTGTTTTGCTGGTGATGCTAATATCCAGTCATGTTTCCCAGTTAGTGGACTGGTTTTTAATTTTTATAGTGTTATACAATATAATTCTCCCTCTGTGGGCACTGGTTCCAGGATCCCCTCTTCACCTATAGATACTCAAGTCCCTTATAGAAAATGGTATAGCATTTGCATTATCTATATACTCTCCCCTATCTTTTAAATTAAACTACCTGCAGATTATTTATAAACTTAACATGACACAAATCTATGTGAACAGTTGTTATATATTGTTTAGGAATAATAACAAGAAATAAGATCCTGGGGGGCTGGAGTGATGGCTCAGAAATTAACAGCACTTGTTCTTGTAGGGGAGCCAGATTTGGTTCCCAGACCCACATGGCAATTAACAATCATCAGTAACTCCAGTTCCAGGGGATCTGACACCCTCTTCTGACCTCTATGGACACTGTACAACACGGGTACACTTACATGTAAGCAATATACCCATACACATAAAATAAAAATAATAGGGGCTGGAGAGATGGCTCAGTGGTTAAGAGCACTGGCTATTCTTGCAGAAGACCTGGGTTTGAATCCTAGCACCCACATGGCAGCTAACAACCTTCTGTAACTCCAGTTCCAGGAATCCACCCTCTTCTGTCCTCGTCAGACATTGCATGACATGGGTGCACTTACACAAATGCAGGCATAACACCCATAACATAAAAATAAATAAATCAAAACATTAAAAAAATATATATTTAAAAAGGACAGTGAGGCAGGAAGGTCGTCATGAATTCAGTGTCAGAAGGCCAGCCCAGGATACACAGCAAAATCATGCCTCAAACAACGACAACCTACATTAATCTGCACTGCATCTTGTAGGCACCGAGAAGAACTCATTTTTAGCAAGCCAAATGCTTTTAACACAGATTTTATAATACTAGCGTGAAACAAGCTATGCAATCATTCACTTACTATCTATTATAAAAAATGAATTTTAGTGCACTACAAAGCAATGGCAGAACTACAACAGCATTTCATTTATACCTCCAGCACATTAAAGAACTAAAAACATGCTAACTTTTGCAAATGCATTTCAGCACTAGATTTGAAAAGGATTTCACTAAAATGCCTTTGCTAATACAAATACACTGGGCAGAATTTTTTATCTATATATCTAGAATATCCACTCTTAGCCAGAAGTACATTCTCAATCCCAGAACATGATGGACTTATGTTCAATGAAGTAATTCCCAGGCACATTATATTCAAGAAAACTAGTATCTTACTTCTCTTGGTCCTATGTATGTATATATCCTTAATACATAATGGATATATTTGTGCGTCTTCAGGCTTGAGGAGGAAACCCAGTTAGTAGAATGCCTGCCTACCATGCATGAGGCCCTGGGTTTGATCCCCACTAGTGCATAAACCAGGAATGGTGATGCACACCTATAATTCCAGCACTTGGGAGATAGAGACAGGAAGAATCAGAAATTCAAGGTCATCCTTGGCTACATAGCCAGTTCAAGGCCATCCTGGAATACATGAGACCCAAAAAGGAGGAGAGGGGTTGGGGGGACAGAATGAGGGAGAAGGAGGGAGAGAGAAAAAGATTTTTTTATGCATGCTAATAAGAAATTATATATACATGTATACACACATGCATATATACTGTGAGAAGGACTTAGTTTGCACTTCATAAAAAGTTTCTTTGGAAAGCAATAAACGTAAGAAAAAAGCAGCAGCCCACTTGGACTAAAAATGATATATTGATGTTAAGGACACAGGGTTCTGGGAGAAGCCAGTGTTCCAAGTCCCAATCTTTGCTTCCAAAGGCAGGTTCTGGATGTTATGCCAATTTGTTTAAAAAAAAAAAAAAAAAAGTCAAAGAGCAACACAAACTCAAAGCAAGCCACAATGCAATGAAGAACTTTCATAACGTAACTGCATTTTAGCCCTCCTCTGCCTTCCACAACGCTGTAAAGTATGAACCTCATTTACCAAGTCCCCACCATCTTTTGGCAAAGCATAGATTAAGTTATTGCTACCCTAAAATAAACAGGGAAATGGGAGACTTAGTTCAGTCCCAAAATAAAAAATAAAAATTCTGACTCTGTCAGCTTAACATACCTATTTGGGAATTAAATGCTTCACAGATGTGCTTAGAAAACTTTACATTAAAGTAAGGACTCAATGAACTAGAAGACAAAAGGTCTGTTCTAATAAAATGCAAAACTAAAATCCAAGTCAGTGTATTTTCATTTTCCTCTTAACCCAACAGTTAGTAACTTTCCATTAAAAATAAATATCAGGGTATTTTACAACTCATGATCAAATTATTTGGGGGAAAGTTCTGTTTAATGATTACTGGAACCAACAGAGTGAAGACAGACACAAAAGGATAAAACTGACATTTATTAAACACTAGGTCTTTTGCCAAATGTAACAATTTACTTCTGGTTATCTTGGGTCTATTATAAGAAACTGTTATGTTCAGAAAAGGAAACTGATGATAGTAAGAAACCAGATCCAAGTGTAAACTTCTACCACCAAAGTCCATTTAGCCCTCTGCCCACTGTCTCCTAGGTACAGTACTCTCTTTTTAACCATGAAGTTTATGTTCCTGAAACCCTGGGACAGCTAGGCAGGCAATGTAATTACCAAATGTGCAATACAGTTAACACAGATTGCCTTCAGAGATAAGAGCAGGAAAAAAGGAAAATCAGGATGTCTTAAGCAAACAGGTCTAATTCTTTAGTTAATAAATTACAGGATCTTCTCTTTCCAATCAGAAAAATCTCTGAAACATCTGGTCCACAGGAACATGAGGCCTGAACTCAGGAAGGGGAAGGAAGAAGAGACAGAAATGAAAGATGAGGCTAAGAAGGAAGGTCAGGGTGACATCAGGGAAAACCTTGAATAATGTCCCCTCCAAGTCTTCCTTTGAAAAATTACTGGTATACATTCTGTGCCCAGCATCCTCTGCCCCAACAAGGTAAAAGAGGCCCTGGAAATGTCTTTAATTTTTTCATCGAGTGGAAAATACATGTGTTTTTCCCCCTCAACAGAAACATGAACCTCACTGGAAAAAACAGATTTATCTTTTCTAAATGTGCAGTGTCTGGAACTCTGTGAAATGTCTGCTGGAAATTTTTTTTAAAGGAGGGGGGCGCTGCTAATACAAGGCACAGGCCTCTAGCAATGCAAATGTTCTCAAGATGGAGGTGGGGGTGTGCTGGAGAGATGGAGAGCTCAGTGAGGTTAAAAGCAGGCACTGCTCTTCTGCTTTTCCAGGACTTAAGTTCAAGTCCCAGCACCCACGCTGGGCAGTTCAAAATCCCTGTTAACTCGAGCTCCAGGGTATCTGATGCCCTCTTCGGGTACCCCACCACCACACACACATAAATAATAAAACAACAAAAAAAGGCATAGAAAGGAAGGAGCACAGATTGGGGGAAAGAATTCAGTCTCCTCCAAAGACTCTTCAGTCTAGGTTTAGGAAAGGGAGTTTGAGGTCCAGGAAAATTAGGACAAATCAATTATTTCCTGAAAAAAAATGCAGGTTAAACCTTTCCTGTCTTCTCCACGACATTTTTTTCAATTGTTCAAAATTGTATTAAAATACACATATGAAATTTGTGATCTTTTCTTTCGCTTTTATTATTTTGAGGTGGGAGTCTCACACTGTAGTCCAGGCTGGCCTTGAACTCGTAGTAATCCTACCTCTAGGGTAATCAAACCACGTCCCGATGTGGCGACTTTCTAGTGTACAGTTTACGTGTTATCTATCAAACACAGTCAAAATGGTGCGCAACCACCACAGCGGTCCATCTGTAGAACTCTGGTTGCAGCACGGTAACTCTTTACTAAACAATAAACTCCCCCCTCCCACCTGAGGGGTATTTACCACTTCAGGGCGCCCAGGTTGGACTGATCAGCTCCCGGTGGGCTGCGGTCAAGGCCCTGGGGACCACCTGCTACCCATCCACCGCGGGCAGGAGCAGCCTGCGAGCCACGCCCACCTCCGCAAGTCTGGTACCCCCGGAGCAAGCCGGCTCCGGGATTTCATCAGACTGCAGCGACTGCGGCTGCCGCTAGGGCCCGGGCAAGGGCAGCGCTCTCGGAACCCTGCCCGCGTGGCTGCGCGGTGTCCTCGGGGAGCCCAGGACGGTCCGCATTACGGCTGGCATGTTCCGTGCCCAACCTTGGTGGATCCAGGTGCCCAGCCCGGCGTTCGCCCGGCAGCGCTCGTTGCCACGTCTGCCCGCCACACCCCTCTCCACGGCTGCGCGGGGACGATGCTCAGGGAGGACGTCCCCCCACGCCGCCCGCAGCCCGCGCGGCCCCGTCCTCCGTGTCCCCAGCTGACCGTCTCCGTACACACTCACCGGACTGCGGCGACGTGGAAGGGCCGCTGGGGGAGGTGGTAGCCCCGTGCGGAATGCAGCAGTCGCGCGGCCAGCGTGGATAAGCAGGAAGTTGCAGCCATGGCCCGCTCGGGGAGAGAAACGCGGGCGCGGGCCGCGAAGCTAAACCTCAGCCGGCCGCAGGCTCCGCCCCCCACCCGCGCCCATTGGTCCCTGTCCCGGCCTACCGGAGCCAATCGGCGGTCTTCATTTATCTTTAGCCGCGACCGCCGGCTGCCACTCGAAGATGCGGAAGCCTGGGAGCATGCCTTGATTGGCTGAAGAAGTCAAGCCTCTGCCGGCGAAGAGTGTGACCCAGCTAACGGGAGTTGGAATTTACTCAATCATCGAACAGCGTCTGAACTGCCTACTGTGTGCCTGGCACCTTAAAGGCACGGGCGTGGGGAGTGGGCGTGGGGGGGTGGAATAGACATCGGGTTGGAGAGATGGCTGAGCAGTTAAGAGCACTGACTGCTCTTGCAGAGGACCTGGGTTGGCGGCGAGCAACCGTCTGTAACTCCAGTTCCGGGAGATCCGATGCCCTCTTCTGACCTCCATAAGCATTGCATGACATGGGTGCACTTACATGCAGGCAATACATTCATACACATAAAATAAAAATAATAAAATAGATTTTTTTGAAAAGAAAGGGAGTCAGAAAGTCACCATTTGGCAAAATCATAGTGAAAATTGATTCAGAATCATCAGTAGACGTCAAAATAACTAGGAGAAAGCCGAATACACTGTTCCTATAAAATATTTATGAGTTTGCCAGATCTAGCAAGTAAAAACATGAGTTACCCAATTAAATTAGAATTTTAGACATAGTTTTGGGAAGTTGAAGTTGTAAAATTATCTGGAATTCAAATTCAGATGGGCTGTGTAATGGTTGTTTTTAACTGTTGACTTGACACAACCTAGAATCACCTGGAAATTGTCTAGAGTAGGTGGGCCTCTGGGCATTCCTGTAAGAAATTTTCTTAATTGGATCATCAAAGTTAACATTACTATTCATGGAAAAAAAACCACATTTTGCAACCCCCTGATATGAGGCATTGATGAAAACACATCACTTCATAGTATTAAACAAACCTAAAGTTTTAATGTAGTGACTTTTTTTTCCAGATAGGGTTTCACTATGCAGCCCAGGCTGGCCTAGAACTCTCTATGTAGACCAGGCTGTCCTCAGACTCATAGAGATCCACCTGTCTCTGCCTCCTGAGTACTGGGATTAAAGGCAGGTGCTCTTATGCCTGGCCTTTTAGTGATTTTCTTAAACCAACAAGTCTCCCGTGATGGTTAATCTTCATTACCAGCTTGACTGGATTTAGACCACCTAGGAGACACACCTCTGAGTGTCTGTGAGGGTGTTTTCACAGAGGTTTAAATGAGAGAAGACCTACCCTAAATGTGGGTTGCACCACCCTGTGGGCTGGGGAGTGGGCCTGAATAAAAAGGGGAAAAGGAGAAAGCCAGCTGACTGCCTGTACTCCCCACTGTCTTCTCCTTGAGATGTAAACAAGCAGCCTCAGGCTCCCACCACCACAGCTGGAGCTGCTCTTCTTCTCCATGTCTTCCCCTCCACAATGGGCTGTATACCCCCTAACCATGAGCCAATATAAACCCTTCCTCTCTTAAGTTCTGTCTTGTCAGGTAATGACACAGCAGAGGGAAAAGTAACAGATACATCTCCTAAAAAGTGTTACATATTTCTCATTTCCACATGCAGAACAGAGCTCGCAGACCTGAAATAAAAACACAATCCAGGAAAAGAGCAAAGATATTCCTGAATGTTTGGAATAAGCTAGATGATCCTAATCTACTCATGAGGAAATATCAAGCAACTCACTGTACTAGGTACACCAATTACAGTCTTCAAAAGTGCCAAGACTGTGGTAGAATGAGGAACTATTGTAGATTAATGTTTATGACAACCGAATGCAGCCTATGCTTCTGAATTGGTACACACACACACACACACACACTGTGTTTAGTTGTTTTTATATTTTTCTTTCTTGCTGTAAAAGACATAGGACCACAGGCAAAACAGTAAAGTCTTTAATTAGCTACTACTAGCATTATAACAAAGTTCATATCCTCATTTAGCTAATCATATTGTGGAAAAGAAGAGAACACACACTACTTGCTTTTAGAGATAGAGATCTGTCATGTCTGCAACTTTCAGGTGGTTCAGAAAGACAATATATATGTATTAGTTTGTTAGGGCAGCCTGAGCTAAATTCCATACACTGGGCAGCTAAAACAGAAAGTTATTTTTTCACAGTTCAGGAGGCTAGAAGTACAAGATCAAGGAATCAGCCAGGTTGGTTTCTGTTGGCTTACTATTGACTACAGGATTGCTGTTTTATGTCCTTTTCTCTGTGTACATGCATTCCTGGTGTGTGTGTGTGTGTGTGGTACATGTGTGTCTGCTTGTGTCTGTGTCTATGTCTGTATGTGTCTGTATGTCTGTGAATGTTTATCTGTGTGGTACATGTGTGTCTGCTTGTGTCTGTGTCTGTGTCTATGTCTGTATGTGTCTGTATGTCTGTGAATGTTTATCTGTGTCTCTGCTCTCTCTCTCTCTCTCTCTCTCTCTCTCTCTCTCTCTCTCTGTGTGTGTGTGTGTGTGTGTGTGTGTGTGTGTGTGTCTTTGGTCTAGTCCCTCTCCTGCATAGACAAATACAATAACCTTTACCTCAGGGAATGGGAGAGAGGGAGAGACAGAGAGACAGAGAGAGAGACAGAGACAAAGACAGAATTTAATTGCCTCTTCTTATAAGGATGCCAGTCAGGTTGTATAAAGTCACTCTAATGACCTCATCTTAACTTCATTATAGTTTTATGGTCCTATCTCCAAATAGAATCATACGCTAAGATTAGGGTTTTAGCACTGAATTCAGAAAAGCCAAATGCGATGGTGCATACCTGTAATCCCTGTACTTGGGAGGCAGAGGCCCAAGGATCACTTCAAGGCCAGCTGGGGTTACATAGTGAGTTTTATGACAACCTTCCCTACAAACAAACAAACAAACATAAAAGAAAACACCTGGAAAAAATGTGAATTCTTAAGAGTGAAAGAATATCTGATTTTATATATATAGTGTGTGTGTGGAAGCCTGTGTGTGTGTATGTGTGCATGTGTATTTGTATGGAGGCCAGAGATCAACATGAGGTATCTTCCTCAATTGCCCTCCACCTTATTTAATTTTATGTGTGTGTGAGTGTGGTATATGTGTACAAGTATGTACACCCATGGGTGCACACAGAGGCTGAGGAGGCTGTTATATGTCCTATGCGATCACCCTTTGCTTTATTCTCTTGAGACAGGGTACCCCACTGAATCTGAAGTTAGGCTGGTAACCAGCAAGCCCCAGCAATCCTCCTGAATCTGTCCCCCCGCAGCTCAGGGGTTACTTGTACATGCATATCCAAGAATATCTTTTTACATAGGTGCTAGGATTTAAACCAAGGTTCTCATGCTTGCACAGCAAGTGCTCTCACCCACTGAGTCATTTCTCCAAGTCCTGCTACCCCTATACCTTTTTAAAATAGGGTCTTACTGTGTCTCCCAGGCTGGCCTGGAACTTTCTGTGTAGAACAGGCTGGCCTCAAACTCATAGAGATCCACTTGCCTGCCTCAGAAGCACTGGAGTTAAGGTATGGGCCACCATGCTTGGTTCCACCGTATTTTTTGAGAAAAATTCACTCTCACCGAACTTGGAGCTCATGATCCCCTTTGGCCAGCCTTTGGCCAGCAAGTGACAAGGGTCCTCCTGGCTCCACCTCTCCAGTGCTGGGATTATTACAGATGCTTAATGCCATGACTAGCTTTTATGTGGGTGCTCTCTCTGCTAGATGGAACCCAAGACCTCTCTCCCACGCCATGCCAGAAACTGTTCTACCACTAAGCTATATCCCCAAATCTATTTTTCCTGAGAACTTGTATAATTTCTTCCCCAAATAGATCTCAATTTATTTCCCCTACCTTTTTCCTCATGGACCTAAGTCCTGATCAACTCTATTTCCAACTTTTTTTTTTTTCACTTTTGGGGATCTTTTTGAGACAGGGTCTTCCTGTAGCCTCAACTGGCCTGGAACTTGCTATGTAGATGAGGCTGGCCTCGAACTCACAGTAATCTGCCAGCCTTTGCCTCCCAAGTGCTGGGATTAAAGGCATGTGCCACCATGTCAGCTCAATTTTTTAATTTACATTTTTATATATATTTGTGTGTGTGTGTGTGTGTGTGTGTGTGTGTGTATGAATACATGAAACTTCTTACCTACTTCAGCGTTTAAAAAACTTTACATTTATATGGGGCTGGAGATTCTCCGTGTCTACTGGATGCTGGCAACTCAGCGGTCGCTGCGCTTCCAGGCGAGTTCCGTTCCAAGCTACCGGGCACTCCCTCGAGGTGCAATCCGCTGGCTGCCAGATCACGTGGGGAGGTGCAAGAATGGCGAAACCAGGATCTCCGTGAGTCGTTGTTTACGAAGGGACAGCCCCCTCGGGAGAGACTGAATTGTAGGCAGTAAGATACAGAACTCAGCTCAGTCAGATACAGCTCCTTTATTCAGTGACTCAGCTCAGCTCCAGATCTTAGTGATTCAGCTCCGATTAATTAGGGAAACCAGGATTTTTATAGTGTGGAGGCAGTAGCAAAAGCCTTAGTTGATAGGTGCTTTGTAGGATGCCCCATTAACATGTGGTGGTGGGCTTCTGCCAGGCTGTCAGACAGTGCCTGATTATCACACAGGAAAACCTGGCAGTTTCATGCCGGAGAACATGTGTCTGTGACGGGCACTTCAAAAGGTGAGTCAGGAAGAGAGTAGGAAGGCGCCCTGCTGGAAAGGGGAGTTTCTGCATAGAAACGCCGAGCCCCTTAGGCTATCCGGACATGGAAAGACTGCGACCCAGAGAGCAGGGGTACCCAACATGGAGAGATGGCTCAGTGGTTAAGAACACTGAATGTTCTTGCAGAAGACCCAGGTTCAGATCCCAGCACCCACATGGCAGCTAACAACTGTCTGTAACTCCAGTTCTAGGGGATCCGATGGCCTCTTCTGTCCTCTGTGGGCATTGTATGACACAGGTGCACTTCCATACATGCAGGCAATACATGCATACACATAAAAATAATAAATTTTTTTAAAATTTACATTTATTTATTTGTTTTGTGTATATGTGTGTATAGGTACATGCTCAGGAGAAACAGCATTCATGTGGAGGTCAGGGAACTCTAGGTTCAGTGAGAGATCATGTCTCAAAAATGTAGGTGGTTGAGCCAGGCATGGTGGTGCATACCTTTAATCCCAGCACTAGGGAGGCAGAGGCAGGCAGATATCTGGGAGTTCCAGGTCAGTCAGGGATACATGGAGACCCTGTCTCAAACAAACAAACAAACAAATAAACAAAGAGCAAAGAAAAAGACACCTGATGTCAACCTCTGGTCTCCACAGGCACCTGCACTCACATGCACATATACTCATACAAACGTGTTTATAACACACACACACACACACACACACACAAAGTCAGGCTTCAGGAAAATTATTTAATGGTTGGCTGCCTTCCTGTAAAAAGGCCAAGCTTTTTGGTAGCTGGTTTCATTTTCCTTTCCTTCACTTTCCCCCTGGCTTATCACATTCCCATCACTGGTTTCTTTCAGTTCATTGATCATAACCAGCTCCTGCTTGCTTCAAAGCCTTTTCACTTGGGGTTGACTCTGAGCAGACCCTGCCCCCCCCCACACACACACTGGGCAATCTCATCTTCATGGGACTTAGCTCAACTGACACCTGAATTTGCCAGTCTCCCTCCCCTTCCTCCTTCCCACCCTTTTCCCCCTCCCCCCTCCTCCCTCCACCCCTTCTCCTCCTCCTTTCTTGACTTCTTCCATTTGTCTGTCTGAGAGAGAAAGAGAGAGAGAGAGAGAGAGAGAGAGAGAGAGAGAGAGAAAATGCATGTGAAGGTAGGTCACAGCTTGCCAGAGTTGGTTGTCTACTTCTATCATGTGTGTCCCAGCATGGAACTAAGGTCATTTACCTTCTGAGCCATTAAAAATATGTAATGTTTCAGGAATTTGCATGTCATCCTTGCGCAGGGGCCATTCTAGTCTGTATCGTTCCAATTTTATTGTACATGGTGCTGACATTGTCAAAGCCCAGTCTGTCTTTGCTCTCTCCTGTCAGTCTCCCAATAATCTTCATGAATTTTGTGCTTTTCCTCATGGCAGTCCCACCATTTGTAATTACATACCATCTACTGGTGTGGATCGTGGATAAATATATACCTCTCAGGGATGGGATGTAGCTCAGTTGGTAGAGTGCTTGCCTGGCATTCATGAAGCCCTGGATTCCATTCCAGCATCCCATAAACCAGTCATGGTCTTGGTGTTGCATGCTGGTAATCCTAGCACTTGGGTGGTAGAGGCAAGGGAATCAGAAATTAAAGGACTTCTTTGCTATATAGTCAGTTTGAGGTCAGCCTGGGTTACGGGAGATCAGCCTAAAAGAAACGAAAAACAAAACAAATGAAAAAACAAACAAATGAAAATAACCACCTTCTGTAACTCAGGGAATGCTCCAGGAGGGCAGAGGCTATGCATTCTGTTCACTAGCATATATAATTAGCACAGAAGTATGGCCTTGGACTTTAGTCACTTTCCAAGTAGAAACTCCCATATGGCTTGATTGGGTTTTTGGTTTCTGCTAAATTGAGATTTCTCTTTCACAGCTGCAACCTCAGATAATGAGCAGGGACAGCTTAATAGCTTTACTGCCTGTGTTCATGCATGAGGGAGGCCAAGATGTGAGCCCTGGACAGGACCAACTGTCTGAGAGACTTTAAAGTGATTTGAGTGCGGAAGAGGCCCAGCAGGGGGGAAGTTAGGGTAAAGCTAGAGTTCTGCAAATGATGATGTAGGGTGCTTACACAGAATGAAAATGCAAGGTTGCAAATTTTGCCCAAGGACAACCAAAAGGGGAAGTGAATGACAAACGGGTGGAATGGGGGTGGAGAGAGGTTCTGAAGAGGTGAGGCTGGGCAGCTTTGTCATCTACTGTTAACTTCTTCTTTGCATCTGCCATAACCAGATGGTATGCAGTTATCTCTCTGTCCTGCTGAGCCAGAGGGAATGAAGCTCCACCAGTCTTTGTATGGTCACTGGTGGAGACCAAACTGCCCTGTAGTAAAAGCAATGAGCAATTTCTCTTTTCCCCTCCCCTCCCTCACTGGAAAACTTTATCTTTGATCCTTAAGAGGAATACATTGCTATCTTCTTCAAATATTGACTAGAGATTTTCCCCTTAATCCCTAGGGCTTCCTTCCTAGACCTGATCATACTGAAAGGTTTCTCTGATAAGTACATGGTTTTTCATAGATTTAATTATTCTCCAACTTTAAGAACAATTCCATTAAAAGGCAAAAAAAAAAAACCAAAAAACAAACCCAAAACAAAAACCACAAAACAACTTTGAGTTCCTTTATTTTCATATTTAAAATTATTAATTAAATTATTTTAGGGGGCTGGAGAGATGGCTCAGTGGTTAAGAGCACTGACTGCTCTCCCTTAACACAGGAATGATTGGAGTTGCAGTCAAGTTTTGAATGGTTGGTTCTTCTTGCTGCCAACAGCAATTGGTCCTAAGTTTGGGCACAGAACCTATGCATAGACCAAAATAATAAAATATTTTTTTAAAAATTATTTTAATTTTATGAGTGTTTTGCCTGCATGTATATATATGCACCATGTGCTTGCTTGGTGCCCAAGGAGGCCAGAAGAGGGCGCTGGAACCCCTGTAACTGGAGTTACAGTCCTGAGCTATCATGTGGGTACCAGGAACCAAATTCTGGTCCTCTCCAAGAGATCTAGCACCCTCTTCAGGCCTTTGCAGGCACTAAGTACTCAAATGAAGCACTTCCATACACGCAGGCAAAACACTCATACACATAAAAACAAATCTAAAACAATTTTAAAAATAATAAGGTAGATTAATGGTTGCCAGGAGTTGGGGGGCGGTGGGGAATGACAGCCGATAAGCAGAAGCTGAAAATGTTCCAGAATTAGGTAATGGTTATAATAGTGGCACAACTCTGAACGCATGAGTCTTTTTCTTTTTTGGGAGGGGTGCTGGGAATTGAAGTTAAGGCTTCACACATTGGGCAAGTACTTTACGATTGAGCTACATTTCAGTCCAAGAACCATGAATTTTATTTATTTATTATTTATTTATGTTTTGGTCTTTTGGGTCTTCCTGTAGCCCCAGCTGTCCTGGAACTCACTATGTAGACCAGGCTGGCCTTGAACTCACAGAGATCCGCCTGCCTCTGCCTCCCGAGTCCTGGGATTAAAGGCGCGTGTGCAATATATCTCTACTAAAAATTACGTTTTTAAAAATCATTGAGGTAGAGAGCTCTCATAGAGGTCCGTCATCCACGAGACTGAAGTGCAGAGTCCTCTCTCTCTCTCTCTCTCTCTCTCTCTCTCTCTCTCTCTCTCTCTCTCTCTCTCTCTCTCTCTCTCTCTCTCTCGTTTCTGCAGAACGCTGATTGGCTGAGTTCTAAAAAGGGGCGGGGCGCCAAGTCGGGCCAAACCTGCCGTGAGCCGCGGAGGGTGGGGATGAGGTGGAAACGGAACTGAGTCTCGCGAGATTTTGTGGTTCCGCATTTCAGGTCTGCGAGGTGGAGGAAGCAGCTAAGGAGGACGCTACGCCGGCTTGCAGTGGCTTGAACCGGCTCAGGTCCCTGGCCGTGAGCCCCGGCAGGCCTGCCCACGAACCTCGGCCTCTCGGTTTCCAAGTCCTAACCGGGGCGGGGCCGACGGCCCCTAGTCCCTGCTCGGAGCACCGAGGATGAGCTTCCTCTTGTGAGTGGGGCGGGCCGGGTCTGTCCGGCGGGTGGCTGTGGAGGCCGGCAGTGTGAGAGGACTGGGCCGGGACGCGGAGCGCCGAGGTCGGTCGAGGCTGCGGCGCCCTCCTCACACTTTTCCGTCCGAGCCCCGCCCCCCCCCCCCCCCCCCCCCCGGGGTGGGCAGATGCTCTGAGGGCGGGCACACCAGCGGAACACTGTGCACTCCCGCCGCGGGCCTCTGGCCTTCCTAGCGCCGCATCCTTCCGTGCGACCTGCGCGGCCTCCGCTTTCTGCTCCATCCCGCCACTGAGGTCCGGTGGGCCCTGGAAAATGTGCGGGGGCGAAGGGGAGGGCCTTGGAGTCTGATGCGGGCGGGGGCGGGGGGGGGTGTCCAGTTCTGTCCGTCCGGCCCCAGTGGAATTCTTGGAGAGAGGACGCCTGGCCTAAGCAAGGCTTGCGTGGAGAAGTGTGGATTCTTCGCTAATTTTTACATACATTTAGATTTGAAAAGCATTCCTTTGGTACCCAATCCTTCGGTGATTGGTTCTCTATCCCAGGCAGGCCTTGAACATGGGATCCTCCAGCCTCACCCACGAAGTCACCGGGCCTGACTTAAATGCCTTAAAAATTAAAAAAAATTGAGTACTTCATATATGAGTACAACGTATTTTCATCATATTCACCCCTTACCCCAACTCTTCCTGTACCTCCCCACATCCCCTTCTCAAGTTCATGCCCTCTTCCTCTATAGTTCTTTTTTATGCATACATAGATATGCATGTGTGTATGTGTGTGTACAAAATTAGAGTCCAATTAGTGTTGGGTATAGTATTAATATATACTTGGTTATAGCGCTGACCACTTGAGCATGGGCAAGCCATCCGCGGCTTGTCCCTGAAGAAAACTGATTCCCTCAGCAGCTGTCCACTGCCTGTAGCTCTTCAACTGTGGTGGGTGAATGTGAATCTTTATTCTTAGTCATGCTGATGGCCACGTTAGTGTTTTCCTTTTTTTGGTTATTCTGAATAATGCTGCTGTAAACATCATACAGGTTTTTATGTGGATGTATGTGTTCATATCTTAGTGAATTACTGTTTAGATGTTAGCCTTTTGAGGCACTGCCAAACTTTTACACCGGCACCTCACTGTATGAGGGTTCAAAATTCTCCAACGGGTAACTGTCTAGCTCTTATCCCTCCTTTTTGTTACAGTCACCTGAGTGTAAAGTGGAATCTCTTGACTTTGATTTGCATTCTCCTAATGACCAACAACATTGAGCATCATTTTTGTATGCTTACAGGCTATTTGTACTTGTTTTTGGAGTGAAGTCTATTTAGATCCTTTTCCCATTTTTAAATCGGAGTGTCTTTATTTTGTTAACACCTATTTTTCCAAAATAATAGGTTTCACTATAGCATTTCTATATGTGTGTATTTGGTTAGTTATGTCCACTCTTCTGCCTTTTTGGTTTTGGGTTATAGAAGTTGTTCATATATCTTGGATACAAGTCTCTTATAACATTTGTGACTTACGTTACTTTCTTCCATCCTGTCTTGATCCTGTTTTTTTCACTGTCTTGATGGTGTCATTTGAAGCACAAATCATAGTTTAGAATATGAAGAGCATGTTAAATCTTGAGATATCATTTCATATTAATTTTCCATTTTTAGTTTCCTTATCATTCAGTTTATTGCCAAGTAAAAAAGGCTTCTAACTTACTGCTTCCTGTATAAATATAGTTCTTTATCATGTCTTTTAGTGTAGTGCTTTCACAATTCTTTTTTACTTCCTACTCTACTGAAAATTCACATTTCTCTGGTAAAGTGAAAGTCCACAGGCCTCTTCCTTTCCTGTCTTAGAGATAATCACCAATTTTGATGTGTATTCTTTTGATGCTTCATTTTTCGGTTTCTATAGGTTAACAAAACAGGCTCTGCTCCAATTTAGTTATGTTCAGCTGTGTTTTGAATCTTTCTTTGTGACTATATAT